ATGGTCTAGAATGATGTTGGGTCATTTAGAAAGCATGCTTTAAGATATTTTTAGAATCAAGTTTGAAGAATTGTAATATTTACCAGGAGAAAAGGGCTTGGCACCAATATGAACTGTTACAGTTGTATTCAAATTTTGACTGTAAGGTTTGAAGTTAGCTAGAAGTCGTTGTCTCTCATCATCAACATTGATAACCAAGTCATCACCTTCTTTCTTCCAGTAGACATAATGCCATACACCATCTGATAAATCTTTCTGGAAAGTTGCTGTACCTAATGATGGATAATATTTATTTGTGATAATAATAACTCTTTATCGTTTGCATGTTTGTCCATGATGAAAAAATTACACATATAATTTCTGTTAAAGAATTGAGAATCGTAGGATAGGTTATATACACTGACGACAGCATTAAGAAGTATGTATTAAAAGTTTCAGCCACAGTTCCCTGAAATCAAAAACCTTACAACTAACTAAACCAACACCATTTAAAAACCTGAAATCAAAAACCTTACAACTAACTAAACCAACACCATTTAAAAACCTGAAATCAAAAACCTTACAACTAACTAAACCAACACCATTTAAAAATTGTCAATGTTCATTGATTGTCAAGATAAACCTACCAAAAGTTATCTTATCTGAAAGGGTTCTTTTAGAGAAGCTTCATCAAAAAGTTCTGTACTTACCTGAACTAAAAGAAGAATAAACTTGTAATAAACCAGTAAATAAAGCTAGTTCTATTTGTCCAGATCGGCTACCATCAACAGTATAAAACTGTATCAATAAAATACTACACCTCTTTTGTCTGGTACGTATTTGTAATGCTAGTTCTTCACCAAATGGGAATTCCAATCTATTGAGATTTGTTTTAGCATAACTTGTTTTACCATTAAATGTAGAAGAGGCAGCTGAAAGATCAATCAAAAAAAAATATTCTCAAGCTTTCAAATAATGTTTCCAATGTAATTTTGTTGCAGGTTAGTAAACTCGTGATTGTAGATCTCACAATATTTAAAAGAAAATTATGTTCATAACTGCAACACAAACAATAATGTAATCTATAAAAGACAAGGGGTAAAGATCACATGTAATAATGGAACACAATTTTATAGTATGCTATTCCTACATCATCTAATACATCAAAACAAGTCGTCAGTTCAGATTTTACTTTAAGTAACAAACTAAGTTTTAAAGTGAATCAAATATACTTTAAGAAAATGAATTAAAATATTTTGAATGAAAGATAACATANAATTTCCAGCAAGCAATTATAA